CCAGATTTCAAAATGTTTGAAGTGTGTTTAATGACTGAACCATCTTTAATTTTCAAGAGATAATCAAAATACTAAATATTTAAAGTTAAACAGCTTTACTTTAAGAAAATGGAAGTGACATCTTACCTTTCTGTGTACGTGTACATGTGTGCATGACCCTCTGTGGCACATGTGGCAGTCTGAGGGAAGCTTGTTAGAACCATTCCCTCCTTCTCTACTCTGGCATCCGGGATCCAGCTGAGGTCCACGGGCTCAGGCAAGCGCTTCACCCACTGGGCCATCTCATGCCACAGTGGCTTGGTTTTGAGACTGGGTCCAGTTTCCCCGTAAGTGATGAGACTGTACTGTACGCATGAGCCACCAAGCCTGGCTGCAAACACCTTAATTTGTATATTGTCTTAGGTAGCTTCCTGAAACCCCACCTAGACAATGGGTTTTCTCTGAATTGACTGAAAAGATCTAAAGTTTAATAGTAAACAAGTATGAAGTTTTTATTTTATCGTTTTATGTGTTGCACTACACATGGAACCAGTGCCTGAGGAAGTCAAATCCCCTGGAGTAGACAGGATGGAATCTCAGTCCTCTGAAAGAATAGCCAGTGCTCTTGCTGAACTGGCTTCCTAGCCCCTACAATCAAGGGTTTTTGAAATCTCTTGAATTCATCTGTTATTCTACTGACTGACAGTACGAATATACCACACTCCTTCTACTACAGGTTTATAATATGGTGACTGTTAGTGAAGCTTCTCACCTAATGAATAGTGCTGAAAGATACATACCAGCTAATGCCTGTACACCTTTCAGCATAGTTTGCTTGAGTAGTTTGTTGGTGGGTTTTTCTTTTTTGTTTTTTGTTCTTTGTTTTGTTTTGGTTTTGGTTTTGGTTTTTGGTTTTTGGTTTCTTTCCAGGCAGGGTTTCTCTGTGTAGCCGCTGTCCTGGAACTCACTCTGTAGACCAGACTGACCTCGAACTCAGAAATCCGCCTGCCTCTGCCTCCCAAGTGCTGGGATTAAAGGCATATGCCACCACTGCCCGGCTGTTGGTGGGCTTTTGGTTGGTGGTTTTATGAGTGTTTTTCTTTTCCTGTTTTGTTCGTTGTTTTGTTTACTGTGCAGCCCATACTGGCCTGGAATTCACTATATAACCATGCTACCCTGGACTCAGATATCTCTATCTCCCTGCCTCCTCAATGCTGGGATTGAAGATTTGGCCCATACCTGGCTGGCTGCTGAACATCAGGCCATCCAGGAACCGAATCAAGGTGATTCTGAACTAGTAGTGATCCTCCTGCCTCTCCCCCAGCAGTGCTGGGATTGCAGGCATCTATTACTCTGCCCATTTTTGTTTGGTACAGGGTTTGAGCTAAGACCTTCATGAATGCTAGATACGCACTCTACCAACTCCAGCTCACTTTATTTTTAGCTCATTGGATAATACATTATCAAAAAGTAATTCCTAAAAAAAAATTTAAAAAATAAAAAATAAATAAAAAATAAAAAAATTTAAAAAATTTTAAAAAGTAATTCCAAAGCCAGACTTGTTTCACACCTATAATCCCAGGCACTTGGGAAGGTAAAGTAGAAGATCTGGTACGAATTCAAGGCCAGCTTGGGCTGCAAAGTAAGATTATCACCAGAGGGGATTGGAGGGGGTGTGGGGGGTGAAAAAAGAAAGCTGAAATTGGAGCTGGCTCAGTGTTTACAAGTGCATACTGCTCTTGAAGGGGACTGAGTTTGCTTGCCAGAGCCCAAATGTGGAGATTGAATGTCCTTTCCTGACATTTGCACTCACATGTTCACACGTGTGAGTGTACATGCATGTGTGTGTGCACACACACACACATAAAACATACAATTTAAATTTTTTCCTATTAATACAAAATTATTTTGGGGTGTGCATACATATATATGTATATACATTCACGAGAGAGATATCACAAACACAAGGGATTTTAAAGGCTGAGTTTTGTTACATGTTTTTGTATGGTTGGTTTTGTTATTGTTGTTTGCTCGTTTTAGTTTTGGGTTTTATTTGTTGGGAAGGGTTTTTTTTGCTTTTTCCTTTTTTTTTTTTTTTTTTTTTTTTGACAGGATCTCACCATTCACCCTGTAGCTCTGGCTTGCCTGGAATTCACTATATTGACCAGGCTAGCCTCAAAGATCCACCTCCCTCTGCCTCTTGAGTACTGGGGTTAAGACATTCCTACTGTGCCCAGCACTAAAAATTGAATATTAATTAACATAATTTAATTTTTCATTAATGCCAAGCCAGTTTTAGTGAAAGAGGGAAAAAGAAGCCAACATTAGAAGACTAAAGCTTAGCACTTATCAGCTCTAGGGGATTCGGGGTTCCATCCCAGCACAGCCGAGCGGAGGGACAGGAGACATGAAACCAGGAGACAACACGAGAGGCTCGGCTGCAGCCCTGAAAGACAGGCCAGCCAGATAAATGGCGATAAAGGCTCTTGCCACCAAACCTAACAGCCTGAGCTGGACCCCTGGGTCCCACATGACAGGAGGAGAAAGGCTGTCCTCACGAACACAAAAGAAGGGTGCTTGGGGGACATGATTTTGATTTGAGGGTCGTCAGTGTTTTAGGAGAGCATGATAACATTACTGTGGAGTACTATACTATTATAATGCCAGCATTTGGGAGGTAGAGGCCTGCATATCAGGAGTTCACAGTCACCGTTGGCTACATAGACACAAGTTTGAGTCCACTCAAGTCTTTGTGAGACAGTGTCTCAAAAAAGGTGTGGGCTTGCTAGAGAGATGGCTCAGGGGTTAAGAGCACTTGTAGCTCTTCTAGAGGACCAAATTTCAGTTGCCAGCATCCTCATAGGGTGGCTTACAAGCACTTGTACGTAACACCAACTCCTGGGAATCCAATACTCCTCTGGACTCCTTGGGCACTTGTGTGTACATGGCACATTCACATACATTAAAATAATTTTTTAAATAGCCAGTGACTACAAGTATCCCATAAATTTGCCCAACCATAAAGACATCACTCAAAAGCTGGAACAGCTGGGCATGCTGACACATACCTGTAATCTCAGCACTAGGGAGGATAAGTGTACGTTCTGGGCCAGCCAGGGCTACATCACAAGGTCCTGTCAAAAGGTTAGTAACTGTTCAGTGGACACTTTTCATACTATGGCAACTGGTATGAAAATGAGTTTTAAATGACTCTAAATAAAAACAGCACAGCAGGATCCCAGACCGTCACCATAAAGCCCTTCAGTAGACCAGTGTTCTTTTCTTCAATCTTTGAGCACATGGTGCAGCTCCTGTTTTTAACCCAGACCAGTCTGCTAGCAGCGTACACATGCCATGGTCTAGTAAAGCTGCTTTGCATTTAACTTTAAATATGAAGTGAAGTGTATTAGAGCATCTCAATAGCACAGGCTTTGCGCCTTTCAGTCCTTGTAAGTGTAAAACCGAATTTGGGCCTTTTCCAGTTTGAAACTCACTCTTTGTCCCTCTTCCAGGGAAGAGTGGAAATGCTTCTTTGCATCCAGGTGCTTTAGTCCAGAGTAACACTTTCGTGGGGATGCTATTGGCTGGTCCTTACCTACAATAGTAGATGACTTTTTTACCATCAAATTCATTTTTCATGTACTGTTCATTTCTGTAAAACCTCAAGGTCTAATGGTCACTCTGCATACTTAAATAGTCATGGTTCATTTGCATGAGGTATGAGAAGTAAAGTCATAAGATGAAGTGTGTAATTACAGGATTTACTTGTGTGTTTGGAATGCTTGAGTTTTTAACCTTCTGCTCTGCACATTTCCAGATCCATTTAGTATTCTCAGCTGTTTTAAAGCTGTAACAGTCACGCTCTGTATCTTTACAGAGAGGACACATAACAAACATATTCTTGTAGATCTGTATGTGTGTATATAAAATTCAGCTCCCCAAACTAGATCATATTGGGGCGTATATAATCGGAACCAACAATGAGGGAAAATGTTCCATCTAGTAAACACACAATAAGCTCCAGCTCAATTTTGCCTAATGTGTCTTTGTTGCTGTCTAGCAGTCAATATAAAACCAAAAGACAAGGGAGAGAGTGAAGTGCGGCCCGCAGAGGCTGTGGTATGCTCTGGGTGTCTGACTGAGATGGCTGTGGAGCTCTTGGTAAGCACAGTCAGAATGAGGACCTGTGTGACTGAAGGGCAGTTAGGAGAGCATTAAAAGAGGTTTCGCTGCATGCAAGAATGATGGATCCCTTACAAGGCTGGGGTGTCACGTGCTCCGCTGCGAGAGCTTGATGCTATTGCATGAGGCTTTGGGTTCAGTCCCCAGCACTACAGAAATAATCAATTGACAGTGTCCTACAGCACAGGCTGTCAGCCGACCATACAAACCTCTTCTGCAGTTTGTTTATTCATAACTTAAAGCATAGGCTTTTGGTTTTATGAGGTTTCAAATGATTTCCTCGTTGCAATTAAACCTGCCCTTTTCCTCATTATTTTTTAGTTCTTAAGACAGAAGAACAAGATAAGTCTCTATTGTGTATGTGTGTTTATATTACATATATGTACATGGTGTGTTCTAGGTCTCGTTAATGCGGTTGTGCTGTGTTGGCTTGAGTGCACACACTGTGCACTGTAACAGAGGCTTTCCCTGGATATGCTGATGCAAACATTTATTCAGTGCAGCTGCTATGGTTGTGTTTGTCCGTTTTCCATCAAAATAATGTTCGTCTTTACAGTGGAAAATGGAAGGTGCTCTATTAATTTTGTTTGGCCAGTTGATGATTTGAGAAGCTTGCCTTGGCACTGCTCTCGTGTATCTTGTGTACTGTATTACTGCTAAATGTTTTCTTTACTTTTATGATGGTTTGTGCTTGAATTAAATTTCTACAAGTATAAAAATTATTAAAATCACGCTTGGCATACCGTCATTTTGACCAAAATTTAAAGTATTTGCTATAGACTGAATATATTACTTAAATAGGATTTTTTAAATTGCTTTATGGCATTTTTTTCTTATAGCTGTCACAAGATGAATGTAGAGGCACATTATACAAATACAGATCTGAAGAAGTAGATATTGATGTAAGTATTTCTGGCCCCCAGAACTCACTTTTAGACCAGGTTGGCTTTGAAATCAAACAGATCTTCCTGTCTCTGGCTCTCAGACACTAAATTTAAAGGCATGTGCTATTATGCACAACTATTACTAAGAATTAAAAAAAAATAAAGCCAGGAATCATGTTGGTACATTCCTGTAATCCCAGCAAAGCTAAGGCAGTCAGATTTGAGGAAGTTCCAGGACAGCCTGAACTACAGAAGACAACTTTGTCTCCAGTACATAAGCAAACAAACCAAACGCTTTACCCAGGTAGGACTATTGTTTGGAGGTTGAGCATCTGCATAGCATTCCTGAGACTCTGGCTTTTATCCCAAGAGCCAAAGAAAAGGAAAAACATCAAAGTGTTTGATTGCTCTTACCTCATTTTTATTTATTTATTTTTCCTTTTTGACTCAGCATTTCACTATATAGAGTGGGCTGTAACTCGAAATCTACCTGCCTCCACCTCCAGAGATCAAGGACTCATGCCACACCCCCTGCCCCAAAAGCTCGCTCTTTTGGTGGTTCTGATTGAAATAAAAATGTTCTAAAAGGAGAAAATGTGATCAGAATATGGTATATAAAATATTTTTTCAATTAAAAGAATTAATTAAATCGTTTAAAGTTCAACCAGATAGTCCATGGATATTTTAAGTAGCTCCCTTCCCCTGGTTAAAGGAAAGACTTTAAATTGCTAACAAAACATATCTTCTCTTCTAGGCCAAATTAAGCAGATTGTGTGAACAGGATAAAGTGGTCCGTGCCCTGGAGGAGAAGCTGCAGCAGCTGCACAAGGAGAAAGTAGGGCGATTACCTTTACTCTCTACAGTTGATGTTGCTGCCTGTGCTGCTTGTGAGGACATGGGTAGCCAGTTATATGAACTAACTCGCTGATGCAGAGCATTAAGTGTAGCCCTCTTTATTACCACAGTACACGCTTGAGCAAGCCTTGCTGTCAGCCAGCCAAGAGATAGAGATGAATGCAGATAACCCAGCTGCCATTCAAACTGTGGTGTTGCAGAGGGATGACCTGCAGAATGGACTGCTGAGCACGTGCCGCGAACTCTCCCGAGCCACTGCTGTGAGTGCACTGAGTTCTCAGAGGCCACCTGGATCAGGGCCTGGGGTACAGTACTAGGAGACTGAAGCAGGATAATCACCAAGTTCAAGACCTGCCTGAGAGTGGAATGAGTTCAGGGTCAGCATGGCAACTTAGTAAGAACCTGTCTTAAAGAAAAAGAGGCGTGGCCACTTGGTCAGTGGTACAGCCAGGCATGGTATTATACCCTGATGATCCCAACACTTAGAGAGCCATGATTAGTGGCCACACCCTGTCTCCAAAAAACACAAACCTCATTAAACTGGGCATGGTGGCACATGCCCTTAGTCCTAGCACTCTCGAGATAGGGGCAGGCAAATGTCTGTGAATTAATTTGAGGTCAACTGGAGCTACAAAGTGAGACTGTATCTCAAAAAAAACAAAAAGCAAACAAACTATATATAAATAGAGAGAGAGAAAGGAGGTTGTCTTTATGCTTTTGGGGGGGCTGTCTTTATTCTTGCTATCACAAGGGATGTTCAGCCAAACTTGGTGTCGCATCTCCTGTAAGACTAACCCTCGGGAGTCCAAGGCAGAAGGGTTACTAGAGGTTTAAGTGCAGCCTGTGCTACACCGTGAGATTTTATTCTTCATTCTTGTTGATATACTTGTGTTTAAGACATACAAACCAAGGTCGGCCTTTTTCTATGGTTAGAATCCTGCTCTGAATTCTTGGTTTGTTTGGGCTTTGGTTTTTGTTCTTTTTTTAAGATTTACTTTTATTTACGTGTGTGTGAGTCGCCCAGATGGCTGCTGGGAACCGAGCTCAGGTCCTCTGCAGAAGCGACAAGCACTGTTAACCACTGAGTTTTGTCTGGTGTTCCTCTCCCCTTTTAGACAAGGCCTCTGCCTCCTAAGTGCTGAGATTAAAGGTTTAGGCCATTATATCCTGTGACTTTAAATACTTTACTTGCACAAGGGAATTAGGCACTGCCTTTGCCTGGCTTCTGCTGCCCCTTGAGGTTCCAAGCCTCATTTTCCCTCCTGGAGCCTTCTGGGGTCCTATGCTTATGTTTTCTGTTCCTTTGATGTATATAAATTACAAGAACAGGTCAAGCAAAAAAAAAACCGAGCAAGATGGCATAGCCTACGAAAGTGTTTGTTCCCTGATGATCTGGGTTTGAACAGTAAAACCTCCATGATGGAAGGAGAGCAATGATTCCCAAAATTGTCCTCTGACCTCCACATTGCATACACACAAATAAATAAGTATATAAATAAAATGTGAATATGAGATGGGGTTTCTCTGTGTAATCCTGGCTGTCCTAGAACTCTCTCTGTAGACCAGGCTGGTCTTGAACTCACATAAAGTTCCACCTGCCTCTGCTTTCTGAATATAAAATTGCTACAGAAAATTTTATTATAGGAAACTAATTTCTGTATTCACATAAAAGTCTGCTAAAACCAGTAATGAGGGTAATCTTCACACAGTTAGACAACCTTCATCGTTTTATCTCTGCCCTTTTCTCCTGGGATTGACCAAGTCCCTGCGTATACCTAGCAAGCACCCTACAGCTCCCTATTTCTAGAACTACCTTTTAAACAAGATCTTAAGGAGTTACCAGGTAGTCCTTGCTTCTAACTCAGCCTTCCGAGTATCAGGGATCACAGTCGTGTTGCCATGGCCAGAGTTTTTTATTTTTTTCAATATAAACTAGGTATGCTGTGAGACACATACTTATAATCACAGCACTCTGGAAGCTGAGACAGGAAGCTGCAAGATCAAGTCCAGCTAAGGTTACATAGCAAGACCCTGTCTCAGAGAAAGAGGGTTGTAGGAGGAAGAAAGAAGGAGAGGGAGGAAGGGAGGGAGGGAAGGAGGGAAGGGAATTCAAATGCTAGAGCGATGTCTCAGTGGTTGGGAGCATTACTGCTGTTCTTCCTGAGGACCTCAGTTTGGCTCAGCGCCCACATCAGGCAGCTCAGAACTGCCTGGAAATCTAGACCCAAGGTATGTAGCCCACTTTGCTGGTCTCTGTAGGCATTTACACATACGAACAGGTGAAGTAAAACAAACAAACAAACAACAACAACAAAAAACTTTTAAAAAAATTTTTTGTTTTGTAAGATTTATCTATTTACTTTATGTCTGAGTGCTCTATCTGCATGTATGCCTGCAGGCCAGTAGAGGGCATCAGATCCCATTACAGATGGTTGTGAGCCACCATGTGGTTGCTGGGAATTGAACTCAGGACCTCTGGAAGAACAGCAGCCAGTGTTCTTAATGGCTGAGCCATCCCTCCAGCCCCTACAAAAATGGGGAAAAATTTAAAAAAATAAATATGAATTCACTATAAAACTTGCTTAAAGAAATACTTTCATTGTTATTTTCATTTTCAATCAGGGTTACACTTACCTTAGGCGGCCTCCAACTCCTTGTATAGCAGAAGATTACATTATCCTCCTGCCTCCACCTCCCAAATGTAAGGATTTCAAATGTGTGCCGCCATGTTCTAAAATTCAACTAGAGTTTACAATCTGAATTTGCAATAGACGTTTTTCTATTTGATTTAGAGGAACAATCAATTAGAAAAAGACCAAATAGCAAGATGACAAAGTCAAACAGTGGGTTAAAGAACCAAACAGAAGAAATACAAATGGCCAATAAAGACATTTTCAACAGGCTTAGCCAATACAAATTATAACTACTTTGAGATTCTCTCTCTCTTTAGTGAGAATGGATATGATCAAGAAAATAGAGGAGCTAGAGAGATGGCTCAGCTGCTAAGAGCATTTACTGCTGGGCATAGTGGCACACACCTCTAATCCCAGCAGGTGGATCGGGGTGAGTTCGAGGCCAGCCTGATCCACTTAGAGAATTCAGGACAGCCAGAGTTACATAGAGACCCCATCTTTAAAAAACAAAAAGTACTTGCTTCTCGTGCAGAGGACCTAGACTTGGTTTGGTTCTCAGCAGCCACATGGAGGTTCATCTCGGACAGTGCACACACATACCTGCAAGCAAGCAAATACTCATAAAAATAAATCTAAAAACAAGTGTTTTAAAGAAAACATGGGCTGGAGAGATGGCTGAGCTGTTAGAGGCGAGGCTCACAACCAAAACTACAAGAAAACAAAGGACAGCGAACGCTGGGGAGGATGAGGGCCCTCTTTCCATCACTGCTGAGGATGTACACCATAGCCTGGATGTTAGGCTCCCCATAGAGACTCAGATCAGGGCTGAGTGGCCGACGGCCACAAGAGCCAAGAACTGGAACCAGCCTACGTGTATGTAATCCCATACATGGCATATACACCATGGATTTTTTTTTTCAGACATAAAAATTAAATCCTGACATTTGCACACACTGGAACTGGAGGAGGTTATTACATTAAATAAAATAAGGCTGACTCTGAAAAAACACCACGTGCTTTCTCTGAAGGAACAGAGTCTTGAGAAAGAGGAAACAGTATAGGAGAGTGGGTTACAACAGTTCCTGTTTTTGGTGCTGATGATGTAACTTAGTAAAACACTTGCCTGCCATGTTTTTGGCTTTAGTCGCCAGAACTCCCAAAGGTATTTTTATCTTGCCCAAAATAGACCACATAGTTTTATGAAATCTTGGGAGGTTTTAAGCATACTGACAATACTGTTAAAGCTTGGGTCTCCTTTAAAATGATGAACATTGTGATTTTAGGAGCTGGAACGAGCCTGGAGAGAATATGACAAGTTAGAATACGATGTGACTGTTACCAGGAACCAGATGCAGGATCAGCTTGATCGCCTTGGGGAAGTGCAGGTAGGACAGGCAGTCCACTGGTCGTCTACCTCTGTGGCTGCACAGGCTCTGTGCTGGCCTCTGCAGATACACAGTTGAGTGTCTTCAGTGACAGCATTCTCTCTCCACTGCGTTCCCCATCTCCTCTATGAAACCCTTGCATCTTACTGGACCCTGGCAAGTCCTGAAGCGCCTGTGCTTCTTAGTGTTTACTCAGCTCCCTCAGCACTCTGCACTCTCAACACTGTGTTCTCAGTACTTAGCTCAGCTCTCAGCACTGTGTTCTCAGTAATCACCTCAGCTCTCAACACTTCCTATAATTTTAGTTCAGACTCTTCACACATCATTCTGTATCTGCTGGTATACAATTGTTCACTATATGCACTGGTTTTTTTTTCCTCTGGTCAGTATCTCACTTATATCTCTTGCATACTAAGGTTATAAATGTGCCTCACCAAACCTACTTATCAAATAATATTTATTTTTAAATAATATTTTTCTTGGGGCTGGAGCACTTAAGAGCATTTCCTGCCCGTCCAGAGACCCCACATTGAATAGCTCACAACCACCTATAACACTAAGTCCAGGGCATCCATTACAGTCCTCAAGCCTCTGAGGGCACCCACACATGTGGCGCATACTGTCTCACTGTTCTGTTGCTGCTGCAAGGAGACACCTTGATCAAGGCAAACTCTTATAAAAAGAAAATATTTAACTGGGGACTTGCTTACACTTCAGGTGATTAGTCCCTGATCATCACAGCTGGGTGGCTGGGAGCAGACAGGCATAGTCTTGAAGTATGCCCTGATCCACAGGCAGAGAGAGACTATAGCCTGCTGTGGGCTTTTGAAACCCTGAGTACACCCACAATAACATACCTCCTCCAACAAGGTCACACCCCCTAATCCTTCCCAAGCAGTTTGGTTCTCTGGTGACCAAGTATTCAAATGTATAAGCCTATGGGGGCCATTCTCATTCAAACCACCACCACCACACACACATACACACACACACACACACACACACACACACACACACACACACACAAAATAACACTAAACCTTAAAACATGAAATTTGCATTGTACAAATTTTAGGTTGCCAAAAACATGTATTTGTATTTTAATTACTACAAAACTTACACTATACAGGTGTGCAAGTGTCTGACTTTTGTAGTTAATCTCCTCTCCCTGTCGTTTTTCTCCTGAGCTTTAACTCCTGAGTCCTTCCTCTGTGTTTTATAATACTTGGGGCAGTGACGGGTCTTCAGGCAAATAGACGCTGAAAACAGTCCTGTGACCAAGAAGAGTGGTAAACACCTGCAATCCCAGAATTCAGCAGCAGAGCCAGAGCTTGAAAACAGCTTAGGCTACAAACAGCTCCAGGGCTGCTTAGTGAGACGCTTGGTCTTAGTTAGGGTTCTATTGCTGTGAACAGACACCATGACCAAGGCAACTCTTACAAAGGACAGCATTTAATTGGGGCGGCTTATATTTCAGAGGTTCAGTCCATTGTCATCAAGGCAGGAAAGAAGGTAGCATACAGGCAAACTTGATGCTGGAGGAGGTGTTGAGAGTTGTACATCATGATCTGAAGGCAGCCAGGAGAGGCCTCTCCTCCTCGCCGGCCGGGCACACTTGAGCACTAGCCATGGAGCCCAGAGCCCACCTAGAGCAGTGACACGAGTCCTTAACAAAGACACACCTAGTCTTCCTTGTGGGAAGAGGTATGTTATTATGGGTGGGCTTTGGGATTTCAAAAGCCCACAGCAGGCTCAGTGACTGTTCTCTGTCTGTGGCTGCCAGATACTACTTCAGCACTATGCCTGTCTGCTTCCATGATCAGCCATGATGATCAGGAACTAACCATCTGAAACTCGAAGCCAGCCCCCAGTCTGCTTTCTTTTTATAAGAGTTTACCTCCCCACAGAAAGCTGGACAGCGGTGGTTCTTGCCTTTAATCGTAGCACTCGGCAGGCAGAGGCAGGCAGATCTCTGTGAGTTTTAAGTTTGAGATCAGCCAGGGTTACACAGAGAAGCCTTGTCTCAGAAAAAAAAAAAAATAGGAAGAGTTTGTCCTTGGCCATGGTGTTTCCTTGCAGTAACAGAACAAAAGGATGTTCTGTGTGGATGATGTGTGCCACCTGTGTGGGTGCCCTCAGAGGCTTGAGGACAGTAATGGATCCCCTGGACTTAGTGTTACAGGTGGTTGTGAGCTATTCAATATGTGGTCTCTGGAAGGGCAGCGAGTGCTCTTAAGTGCCAAGCTATCGTTCCAGCCCCAAGAAAAATGGATTTCCCTGCAAGGGTCATATAAAGATAACAGAATCTTGAAACTCTATGATTTTAACTTAAAGACATGATACGAAATATTTAAAGTAAGAAAGTGAATGTACTAGAATAGAGTAAAAGTAATTGTGATTAAATGTTTGTATTGGAAACACATTTATTTGCTTCTGTCAGTCAAGTGGGTTTTTTTTTGGGGGGGGGTTGTTTGTCTGTTTTAGAATTTAGGAAGCAGTGCAGTGCAGGAGTCCTTACCTTCAGGACATATCCTGTGTCTTTTCAGTGAATCTTGAAACCACAAATACTATGGTGCCTGTACAGTAAGAGTGGGAGGAGGTGATCCTGGGCATGTAGAAATAAGTCTCCACAGCTCTGCTCCTGGGCTGACCACATCCACGTCTGCAGCAGCAATTGTAACTGATGAGCATCACACAGTAGTTACTCCTCCTTAAACCCGGGGCTGGCCTTGTGCTGAGAACCCTGGGCATGCCGGACAGATGCACTGCCTGCCACTGACCTGCAGCCACTGTTGGCTGTGTGTGTGATACTGGAGAAAATAGATCTGTAGATGAGGTAGCCATCGAGAACCTTTGGTGGCTTTCCTTCTCTTCTCAGGGGCTTGTTTTTATTTAGGAGTATTAGGGATTTTCTCTCTCTCTTCATTTTCCATCTGTAGTGCCTTCTAAGAGTGCGCTTTCCTAGAGTGGTGCAGCACAGGCAAGTGTATACAGTCGCACATTTACATCAGTGTTTTCTCTTCGCGCTGTACCTTTTTTTACCTTTGCAACATCGTGGCCTCACTTGTGTTATCCTAAACATCTTGGGAACTTAATCCTGTGCAGCTCTAATTTTTTTATTATACATCTATAGTAGAACTTACAAGGTTGACTTTTTTTCATGAGTTATTGAATTAGTTATTTTCCTGTTGCTGTTATAGAAAACCTTAACAAAAAGCAACTAGGTGGGAAAAGGGTTTCTTCTGGCTTTCAGTTCCAGCATGGCAGGAATGGCTGGAGGCTGCCCCACACTCAGGAAGGAGAGGGTGAGAACAGGTCCAGCTATAAACTGTCTTAAGCTCCCACCCAGTGTGTACCAGTGTGTAATGCCTTTATCCAGCAAGGCCCCACCACCTGAAACCCAGGGTTCAAATGCATGAGTCCATGGAAGACATTTCCCACTCAAGCACCACAGTGATCTGTTCATCTTTACTGATAGAGTGAGTCGGCAGGAATTCAGCGGGCACAGATTCAAAAAGAACTCTGGAGAATTCAAGATGTCATGGAGGGGTTGAGCAAACACAAACAGCAAAGAGGCTCTTCAGAAACAGGTGGGTCAGCTTTGCATGGCTGTGTCTAAATGGAAAGATATTGCTAAATTTGTCATCTTCATAGAATTTATCATCAGAAAATAACTCACTCTGTGCCATTGAATGGATACCTAAGTTAATAAACTAAAAGCAGGAACTCTGGCAGCCACAGCCACACAAAACCTGAACTTGTGTATGTGATTACTGAAGGTACTTCAGCTTTAGTGACTCTTCCTTCTGATTCATCCTTACAGCTCTCTTACTCAGTTTGCTCCCCCCACTTTTTAAATTTTTATTTATTTAATGTATAAGTGCTCTGCTGCATATACATCTGCAGGCCAGAAGAGGGCATGAGATTCCTTGTGGGCCACATTGTGGTTGCAGGGAATTGAACTCAGGACCTCTAGAAGAGCAGTCAGTGCTCTTAACCTCTAAGCCATCTCATCAGCCCTGCTTCTCTCCCACTTTTTAATAATATCTTTTATTTATATTTTGAAAGTTTCATACATGTATACAATGTATCGACATGATGTCAACATCACCTTTTTGTTTTAACCAATGAGTGCAGTTCCTTCTACCCTTAGCATGGTGACTGGTCTTGTTGGCTTTTCCCATCCCAAATGTAACAGTAGCTGCCTGAAACTGTTGCGTAGGTTAACTATGCCTCATCCTTTTCCATATTGGAGAACATGGGCTGTGTCTAGAGTTCTGTCTGTGAGTCCCTCTGTGACAGGAATCATTCATTCCACGAGGCCCCACAGTGTAAACAATTAGTATGTACTGCATTCTAAAGATGACAACTAGATTAGTCTCATCAAAGATGACTGTGTATACCAAAAATGCTTGAGGAAACCTCTTTCCACATATCTTTTCTTTTCTTATTTTTAAGATGTTTTTAAAACTTACTTTATGTGTACTAGTGTTCTGCCTCCATGTTCATCTGTGTAACTTTTGCCTGTGGAGACCAGTTGAGGGCAACAGATGTTAAAGGTGATTGTGTGGCTCTAGCTGAGAATCCAGCTGGTGCCCTTAACCAGGGAGCCGTCTTCCAGCCTCGGATACCATTTTTAAAATTTAATATTTAGAGCCAGATGGTGGTGGTAGTACACACCTTTAATCCCAGTACTCTGGAGGCAGAGGCAGGCAGATTCCTGAATTCAAGGCCAGCCTAGTGTACAGAGCAAATTCCAGGCAGCCAGGCTACACAGACAAACCTTGTCTCAAAAAACTAAAAAAGAAAAGAAAGAAAATGAAGGCTTCACTACGTGTGATAGCTAACACCATAACCCTAGCAATGGGGAGATTGAGCCAGGGATTGCCTTGTGTCTAAGGCCAGCCTCAGTTAGTGGCAGGCAAGAGTAACTCCATAGCACAGTCCTGAATGCAGTAGACGGGTAGACAGAGCAGAGAAGACTTAATTTAAAATAAGTAGAAGCAGCCTGGCCTGGTGAGACAGCTCAGGGGGTAAGGACACCGGCTGGGAGACTGGAGACCTGGGCTTGATCCCTGAGCCCCACAAGGTAGGACAGAACCCACTTTGAAAAGTCATCCTCTGCCTTCTACATGTGCACCTTGTGCACGCATGCGCGTGTGCACACACATGCCCACAAAATACATACATGGAACTTAAACTTTAAAGTAACCTAAGCTAACTGAGATTATTCTTTCTGTGGGTTTAGAAAGTTGTTCTTGCTGGTCAGTGGGGCCCACACCTGAGTTCCAGGACAGCCAGGGCAGTTACAAAACCCTCTCTTGCAGAAGAAAACAACCAAAAAAAAAAAAAAAAAAGGGGAAGGGGGGGAGGGGGGGAGGGAGGGAGGGAGGGAGGAAGGAAGGAAGGAACCCACAAGAAGAAAGGAAAGTGTTCTTAACATGAGTAGTGATGTTTTCTAATTTTCCCAATAGGTCTGGCAGGATCAAAGCCTTTCTCATCAGTTAAGTACAAAAGCGAGGTAAGTTTGGCTTGTTTTTCTAGCTAACTTGAAATATTAACAAGTGAAATAAAAGTAGTTACATCTTCTCTATTCCTGAAAGAAACAGTTTCAGCCTGCCTGGGGTGGGGGTGCATACCTGTAACCCCAGTGCTTGGGAGTCAAGGAGGAGGCAAGTTTGCCTGGGCTGCATAGCAAGACTCTCAGGAAAAAATGTTTTTTAAATATATAAATATATTTAAGTCATTTTAATCTTAAAACATTAGTGACTTAATAATTTGGTGTCTTAATGACTTCTAACATGATTTTTCTTCCTTAAATGCAAAACTCAAATTAGTGACTATGTTTCATCTGTGAAAACTTTACCATTATTGTTCTGTTTTCCTTGTGATTTAAATAGTTATCATGGCTTATGTGTGATAAAATCTGTAGGATGGTTGCTAAAGTTGGCTTGGTCATGCATGCCATAGAGAAATTATAACAACAAAGAGATACTGTCAACCTAACTGAAGAAAATCTGTGCCCTTGAGTTTTGCTTAAAAGCCAAAAAAGAAATTATTTTCTTTTTTCTCTCAAAGACATCAAAAATACATAATAAGATTTTTTTTTTTCTTTATTTAAGCCAGCTCTTTTTTCTTCTGGTTTTGCAGTGAAGTACAGTGTATTTACATAGTAACCTGTCTGGGTAGGTACAGCTACCCCATACATGTAGGAGAAAGCAGACACAGCATTTAAAACCCCATTATTGACTCTCATGCTAAATTGTGTTGGTTTTTCAAACTAAGACTCTTGGCTTGGCAGTGTCCCTTTAATCATATTAAAGTAACTTTAAGTTAATATAGCAATGAAAACAGTTTAGAAATGCTTAATCCAATCTGCTTATCTAAATAAGGTGACTATTCTACAATCTTTAGGAAGAGGAAGTAGTCCCACCTCGGCCTCCACTTCCTCGGTCTTATGACTTTACAGAGCAGCCTCCCATAATCCCCCCTCTGCCCAGTGATAGCAGCTCCTTGCTCTGTTATAGCAGGGGCCCCGTGCATCTGCCTGAAGAAAAGAAGATTCATCAAGTTCAAGGATATCCAAGAAATGGATCTCACTGTGTAAGTGGCTGGAGTGGCCACAGAATGATCATGTATACCTGCTCATTTTTTAAATTAATTTACTTCATACTCTAGCTTATTTTTGCTGTAACTCCATTTTTAGCTAATGCTTTTTTGTTTGCATATAACATTACCCTTTGTTTTTCCAATTTACATTTTATCATTCTCATTTTTAATGTTCTCATAATTTTAATATTCCATTTTTCATAAAGTGGTTACTTTGCACATTTTGATCAAGCTATATTTTAAATTTGCCATTTCATAGTGTTAGACATAGGGTATTGAGATCAGGAAATAGGGAAATACCAAAACAGATGGGAGCTGGGCAGGTTAGGAAACCATGAAAGGACTCAGGCACTGGCAAGGAGCGGTGCTCCCTGCGACTGGAAATGAGGTTTCAATAAGAAGTGAAGACAGGGCCGGGCAGGGGTGGCGCACGCCTTTAATCCCAGCACTTGGGAGGCAGAGCCGGATTTCTGAGTTCGAGGCCAGCCTGCTCTACACAGTGAGTTCCAGGACAGCCAGGGCTACATAGAGAAGCCCTGTTTCAAAAAAACAAAAAGAAAAACAAAAAAGTTATTGGATTCTATGACTGTTTTTAGACCTTAGTTTGACCATGATAAAAATGTGACTTTGGGCCAGGTATGAGGCACCTGTCTGTCATCCCAGCACTCAGAGAGGCAGGTGCAGGAGAGCCATGCAACTGAGGCTGAGTAGCCTCAGGCAAGGGGATGGGGGAGAATATCCCTGGGAGGTCAAAAGCAGCATCAAGAGGTCCAAGCAAGCCTGGGCTATATGAGACCTACCACTAAAAGGAATAGCTTTGGATAATAAAGTACCTACAAAGAGCTAGAGAAGTGACTCAGGACCCCAGATTCGGTTGGTTGTTCTTTGCAATGCATAACTATCTATTATGACAGTTTCATGGAATCCAACACCCTTTTATAGCCTCTGTGGGCCCCAGGCACACCTGTGGGGTGCACTATAAACAAGCAAGCCAAATGCTCATATACATAAAATAGATAAATCTTTAGAGCGTGTACAAGGCTGTTGGATACCTACAGAAAGAAAAAACATACTTTGTCCGTAGGAGCATTCTTAATTTTAAAATAGTAAGTTTTACTAATGAAAACTCTTCCTAAAGAAGAAAAAAACCTTTGCATTATCCTTTCCACTCAGTTATCACATGACATGTATTGTGTTATGTCAGAAGTAGCCAGCTGGGGCTTTCAATTTGCATCTTTAAAAGCAAACTTATTTTTCAATTGAGCCCAGGACCTTTCAGATGGTAGACAAAGCACTGAGCCTCCTCCTACCTAGTCGAGGGACGGGGTACTGTGAATGTGCGGCTTGTGTGGTTGCAGTCACGTGTCTTCCATTCAAGGGTCCAGATTATAGACTCTACAAGAGTGAGCCAGAGTTGACCACAGTGGCAGAAGTTGATGAATCTAATGGCGAAGAAAAATCAGAGCCAGTTTCTGAGACAGAAGCTCCCGTTGTTAAAGGTCAGCATTTACAGTATTTTACCTCTTTTATGTCTTTGTTTTCAGATATTTTAGTATATATTTCAACCAGTATGGACATAAATCTATAATTTCATATTTGAAATCTTAGAGGTCCCTTTGAGTTTCCCAGTTAAAAAAGGTTTTGATCTGTATGTGGTGATGCATACCTTTAATCCCAGGACTTAGAAGGCAGAAGTAGTGAATCTCTGTGACTTCAAGGCCAGCTTGGTCTACATAGTGAACTCCAGAACTCCAGGACAGCCAAGCTACATAATGAGACCTTGTCTCACAAAAAAGAAAAAAAAAAAAAAGGAAGGCGGGCGGGGGGGCGGGTGGGGGGGCGGGCAGGCAGGCTGGCTTTGAAACACATTGACACAAACCTACAAGAGGGTTGCTGTGAGCTTGTGACCAACTATTGCTGTGTAGCAAGACTTTGTCTCAAAACTAAAAGTATTATTGTATTATGTCAGAAGTATGTCAGAAATTAAAATTAAAAGAACCCAGAAAAGTTTGGGCAAAAGAATCACCATAGGCCGGGCGGTGGTGGCGCACTCCTTTAATCCCAGCACTTGGGATGCAGAGGCAGGCAGATTCCTGAGTTTGAGGCCAGCCTGGTCTACAGAGTGAGTTCCAGGACAGCCAGGGCTACACAGAGAAACCCTGTCTCAAAAAACAAAAAAGAAAGAAAGAAAGAAAGAAAGAAAGAAAGAAAGAAAGAAAGAAAAAGAAAGGAATGGTTTAATGGCCCGGTGGTGATTAGGAGTACTTGCTTTTCTTTCAGAGGACCCAGGTTCAATACCCAGAACCCATGTACACCCACATAGTTAAAAATATAATGAACTAATCTTTTTGAAATTTTTTTATGTGTTTTTTTCAATCTGTGTCCCATGTGTGGCTACCCTCAGAGGTCAGGAAGAGTGGGACCCCTTAAAGCTGGAGGTGCAGTTGGTTGTGAACTGCCTAATGTGGGTACTGACACTGGAATCCCAAGCCTCTGTAACAGCAGGAGGCGCTCTTAACTGCTGAGCCTTCTCTCCAGTCCCACCAGGTCCTTGTGCCTGGGAGCCTGTGTGTCGAGTGGCAGGAGAGCGAGAGAGCACTGTTCATGGCTTAGGTCCACTCCCAACTCACTACAATCCACATCAGCAAAGCCGTCCAGTGAGGTGCTCAGCGGGCACCACGCCAGGGCACAAGTGCTCTGTGGAACTTACACTGCTTTACCTTTCAGGTTCCCACTTTCCAGTCAGTGTGCCTCTGAGAATGAACTCACCCACGCCCGAGTCCTCGACGATAGCTTCCTATGTGACCTTGAGGAAGACTAAGAAGATGGTGGAGCTAAGAACGGTACAGGCCTCCTCCCTGCTGCTGAGAGCTTGCTGTTGGTAGAGTTGGGTTAGGAACATCGTCTTCTTTCTGTTTTTATCTCACAGGACAGCCAATCACAGTATCTTTTGGTCAACCCCAGCCTAAGCCTTAGTCCACAGTCAGGCTGCACAGTGACACCATGTCTTGTTAACAGTAAAGACAGTAAGATAGTCCAAGGCATGGTGGCACATGCTTGTGATCCTACCTTCTCAGGAGACTGCAGTGTACCCTGGGTTTGAGGATAGCCTGGACTATAAAAGACCCTGTCTCAAAATGTATACCCCAAAATAAAAACAGTTGTAAGATAAAACTAAGAGCTATGTATCACGGTTAATGTAGTGGTCATTGTTTTAAAGCAGTGCTATGAAGAGAGAGAGGCTGCTTTTCTCCTTAAGACAGGTCTGTTTATGTAGATCCTCCCTCCGCCTCCCACATGTTATAAGTACACACCACCATACCCTCCTACCGCCACCATACCACCACCATACACACCACCATACCACCACCATATACATCACCATACCACCACCATACACACCACCATACCCTCCTACCGCCACCA